CTATCGCAGCTTTGGTTTAAAATGTGATGTTTTCTTGGGTTTTGCTGCTTTTGTCTTCAAGTTGTGGCTAAATAAGGCCTCGGCCGCATAAGTTGATAGGGGTCACAAATTATAGCCCTTTAAACGAGTAAGGTTAAATCTTAGCCGCCATTATTGCCGATTGTCCATTATCTCTATTTATATATGTCTATCACGTTTGTGCATAGAGATCTACTATATATATACTATACATTTTAATTTGAAGAACAATATGTTCTTTGGAATATAAAGGTAACTTTAATCAGTGAATTTTCGAGATTTGTTCCCTAGCTCGTCTTCTCACAAACATTAACTGTGCAAAGAACCACTAAAGTTTCAAGCGTGCGGAAAAAATCAATAATTATATGGTTTGAGACCTGATTGGTAGTTGTGGCCTCTGTCAGACTGTGTTGTGTGGCCTTCGTCCCTTCTATTCTTATTTGAGGTGTTTATAGATACCATCTAACTCTATGTGGTGGTTGATGCATGAATAACCGGAGTGAGTAGCCTCAATAAATTCTCGGCCGTATACTGGTGCAGCATCTACCGAACTCTTTTCCTTCTCTCATCCACCTGGGTCCGGTGTCATAATGACTTCAATAAGCCTAAAAGTGGATAGCGCAGCTTGAGTGGTGTCTCGAGACGTGCCAATCTGCACGCCGGACATGCGTCATTTGCTACGGGCATGCATCTCCATTAACGCCCCCTCTGTCTTGACCTGGCTCGTGTTGGTCTAAAGCATTTAGTGGCCCGTTATAGGCACCTTGCCTACATATATATGTACTTGCATACCCAAATGCCAACAGGAAAACGTGAACGTGGCTCAGTGGTCAGGACGTTAGACATCTAAGCAACAGGTAGTGTGTTTAAACCCCGGGGGTTGCGATATTGGGTGTTGGTAATGTTCGGCTGGCGACAGCAAGTAAGTCAAAAATCGCTTTTGCAGTCACTTCTGTCTTTGTTTGCAACATTATTTAACACGCGTAAATAGGTGCATGCTCTGGCTTCATATAATGGTCTACTGAAAAGCACTAAACAAAATAACACAATTATGTCAATCATTACCTTAAAAGGCAGTCATGCCTATAATTTAGGAATGTGGATGTTCTTGTAGGCCTTTCGCCTCACCTGTACGTTTTTGTTTAAATTAAAACAATTTTTGGTTTTATCGCAGGACTCGAAATACACACTTCCGGTTTCCACGGCACCTGGCGTGTTCTAAGCATTTTCTGCTTACACCATTGCACCTCTCACAGTATTCAAACCTCACCGGCCGCTGTTATCTTCGCCCGTCAACGACACCATTCCCTGGTGATCATCGCCGGGTTCAGGATCAACTAACGGTGGTTCGAACGAGTGTTTTTCTTCGCAGCCATTCCAACTTTGAACGGACGAGCGTAGATCCCAACGCTATAAATTCATCCTTCAGCAAGTCAATTTCCTGACTACTGCACTCAAGGATAGTGGGGATCTAGTGAATCAAGTCAGTCAGTCAGTCAAT